CGTTCCTCCTATCGCAGTCGCTGCACCTCAGACTGGTTGCTGTGCTGTCAAACTCGCGCCATTGCGCCTCTTGCGTCTCTCTAGTTATGGTCTTCCCCATTGGCTAGGACCGTCTGGTGTCAAAGCGGTACGTACTTCAACGCACTGGATTATATGCCGACGGTAGATGCCGGCAGCTGCCCGTAGTTGCGGCGAACGACATTCTGACGCGGCTCAATTCTTAAAAGATACATCCATATAGACAAACGGCAACCAAGGGTAACGTACCTGGTACCAGCCGTCACTAACACTAGATCTTGTTTCCGAGGAAGCTCTTCTTTCCATCTCACCTCTGATGAGCACAGCGGCTGAGCATCGCAAATCTGTTCATGAGGTGAATTCCTGCGGCACAACGCCACTTGGGAACAGCGCGATCGTAGGTGAGGGGAGGCTGGCAGGCCACTGCAATCCAGCAATCAGAACCACCCAGCCATCAGATGAGGAGCTCCTTCACAAAACCTGGTAATGGTCCTCTTCCTGGCGTAGTGGCACGATAAGGGTGCCGCCAAGCTCCTTTTGTTGATCTCGAAGGTGGTCAGGGCCTGCAGGATTGCTGGTTGACAAGCGCCTTTGAAAATGGCGCTCCAATTCGGGCTTAAGAAGTTTTCGACCGCAGCCATGGCGGCGGTGGTTGGGGGTAGTGCCGGCGTTGGACTGAGCTACCGAGTCGCTTACGCGGAGCAGGGAAAGGAAGCGCCTGAGGCGGAGAAGCCGTCAAACCCCTTTCCCAGGACGTCGGCAGCCGGTTTTGATCCAGAGGCACTTGAGAGGGGGGCCAAGGTGCTGCGGGAGATTAACTCGTCAAAGTATGCGAAACAGGTGAGTGGGGCGAGGAGCAATCAAGAGGGGGGATGTGATGAAGGAGTGGTGGCGAAGTATCGGTCCTGCTGTTCTGATTGTCTTTAATGGCAGCGTTGTGATATCGTAGCGGTCGCTTTTGAATCTTGATGGCTACAAAGTTTCATGCAGAAACCTTGTTATCTGGTCCGCCAGTAGGATTGATTCAAAATCTGATGAGGATTTCTTGGCTTTCCAAGCTGTGAGTTCCAGCAATCTGCCTGTTCGGTAAGCATCAATCCATGCAAAATTGTGCTTAGTGGTGGTAAGTCGTAGATCTTGCCCTTTTTGAATGTATCCTTCAGTAGAGAGGCTTGACTGCGCTTGGGGGCAACGAATTGAGTTAGATCTAGCACTTTCGAGGCTGCGCCTTCTGGTAATAAGCTTGATGTGCCTATAAGCCTCCGCATCATAGTGAGCAAACGTGTTGTTTCTCTTGTATTCAAGTTGACACCACACCCGAGAAGCATGTCAGTGCCATCATATACTATCCATCTCGTTCCGTAACCAGGCACTCAATGCAGGTAGTAGGGCGCTTCATTAGTCTTCCTATGTAACAAGATTTGATCGTCGTGTCTCTGCTTGTACAAAGTATTTCAGATTCGAAAGGTCGTGGTCTTGACATGACTGGTTGGAACGATGCTTGGGAGCATGGGTTCCTTGTTTGGTTGCTTGCTTAGACCCTCTTTACTGAGCTGCTGAGTAAAGGGTTTTACACAAGGAGTGGGACAGTTTGCTCCTGGCGCCTGCATGCAAGCAGGCTGGAAACGGAGAGGCCAACAGCTTCATTTGTGTGGAGGGATACCTATGCAATTAGGAGGGCGCTTGAATCTGAGCATCGAAAAGGATTAATAAAGAAGGAAAGTACAACCGTTTAAGACCCTTGTAAAAGCACTTCATTGGTCTGGTTCTTGTTAGATATTGTCGCTACGCTCTTCTCATACTTAAGGCTGACAACCTTGACTCGGCAGAGGGGAGATCTGCAATCAAAGATAGTTTGGACTGGAGCAGAGTCAAACAGTAGCTTGCTGCAACTTAGTGGAGGGAGGTTGCGGTGGTCATAACAAGCCCGAAAAAGGATCTCATCAATATCCTGATCCCCCTTTTTGCCCCTCTATGAGATGCACGAGTGGGAGAACACTGGTTGGGAAGCAATGCTGAGCATTCAAACGAGAACTCAACAATCACAAAGCACTGGGCTTTGCATTGCCTTCCCTTTGTCACGTAACGGCAGGTCAGATATTTTATGCTCAAGCACGAGAAGGCGCGGCAAGCCAAGGGACGACGAACCAACCAGGGTCTCAAACGTATCCAGGAAGACCTTTACTTGACTTTCACCTTTCTTAACCTTATCCGAATCCTGCTTTTTGCCAGGTCATTGACATCACACGGAAGCAGGAGGAGACGCGGCAAGCGGAGGAGAAGACGAAGCAAGAAGGGTACCGTGCGCAGCAGGCGCAGGCGGACATTGAGCGGCAGCGCGTCGCGTTTGAGGAGCAGCGCAAGTTGAACGCGCAAGCGGCGCAGAACAAGGCGCAGATGCTGCGCTACGAGGACGAGCTCGCGCGCAAGCGCATGGCTGCGGAGCACGAGGCGCAGCGGCAGCGCAATCAGGAGCTTGTCAAGGTGCGCGCAAAGTTCGTCGTCATGGGATTTTGTCAATTGTTTCGAAGTTTACGTGTGGTCGCCAAGATTCCCTTCGCTTGACGAACTCCGGAGAGGAACTTCATGTGGCTTCAGAGAAGAGAACTGCCATTGTTCTTTATTCAGAGCGTCATTTTAAGGTCGAACTTCCCTAAATCGATTCGCGCGCGCGCGTCTGACGTCCTGGGGCCCGTCTTCGCCAGTAACAAGAGCGTCGCTCAATATTTTCGCATTCTGGTTTCTGCATGTGGAAGGGCTTTACAAAAGCTACCTTTAGAGCCACTAGCCAGCCTAAACCGACCACTCTAGCTACATGGTCAAAACGGCGGTT